CCCCTTACAGAAGGATCGCAGGGAGGAGACGAGCCAGTCAGTGTGCAATGTAGCAACGATGAAACATACAACTTTCCTCTAGTTCCTAAATGCTTCTTCCTACCGCACTTCTACCTTACAAATCTGGCTAGACCAGAGGATATACACTGGTACAGATAGGAACTGGAAACACAGGGGATCTAGGGCAGATGATCCCTTCAGGGCCAGTGGTGTGAGTGGTGATACTGGGGGGGTAGGGTGAGGGTGGGTTGGAAAGTGGGAACCGATTACAAGGATCTATATGTGACCTCCTCCCTGGGGGACAGACAACAGAGAAGTGGGTAAAGGAAGACATCGGACAGTGTAAGATATGACAAAATAATAATTTATAAATTATCAAGGGTTCATGAGGGAGGGGGGAACAGGGAGGGAGGGGAAAAATGAGGAGTTGATGCCAGGGGCTTAGGTGGAGAGCAAATGTTTTGAGAATGATGAGGGCAATGAATGTAAAAATGTGCTTTACACAATTGATGTATGTATGGATTGTGATAAGAATTGTATGGGCCCCTAATAAAATGATTTAAAAACCAAGAAAAGAAAATAGTTATCAAGCAGATACTCTGGGGCAGGCACTTGCTCCGGACTAATGCACAGTGGTGAACAAGAAGGGTACTGCCTTTGCTCTACCTGTGTTCACAACTTGGGTGGGGAGACAAACTTTAAACAAAAGACAAGCAATATTTTAGCTGTAAAAGTGAGAAATACTATAAATTAAGGGGTACCAGATGATGTGAGACTATATAATAGAAACCTAAACCTGTAGAGTATTTTCTTCCCAGCACTTGTTCCTTAACTGATGAAATTTTAGTTCTCAAATGAGAAAGTTACTGATTGGAATTTTTAAAACGGAAGTAGATTTAGGCATTAAAAATGCAAGCCAAGCTGATATTCCTGAATCAGGAGAGCTATGGTCCTGAAACCGTATGAACAGTGAAGAAGGACGAGCAGCAGTACACACAAACCTCAGAACGGTGGCCTCTCTTACCTTCAGAGGGGGAGCTGAGGTGGGACCAAACAGGTATTCTCTGTTCTGTGGAGTGAGGAAAATGGTCAGGCTGATCCTGAGCACCATTAAGCATATGGCGGCATTTGTGCAAATGTGCTTGACACATTGGAGGAATGTATGGATTGTGATAGAGATGTAAGACCCCTCAATAAAAGTACTATTTATATATACATTTGGGTGGAGATTAGAGAGATATAAATCCCATTGTACTGGGGAATTAAATAAATGTTCATAGAAAGCCTCATTTGAGTTGCTCTATTGCTCTCTATTCTTGGTGGCATCTGGGAGAAATGCTTCCGAGAAGGTGTACTGTCAATAACAAAGCAAATACATTAAAAACTATCTTACTGAAATAGTGGGACGGGAGTCTGAGTAAGTGTCCAATAAAGATAAGCATCATAGATTAATTGCATAGGATCTTTTATTACTTTTATAAATGTGTGGAATTACATTGCTCTTGTTTTTTAATAGTGCTGTCTTTATGTTCTACTCTAATGAATATATAAAATATTTGAAAGGATTTCATGTATTTTTATAAACTCAGTTCTCATAAGCATATTTTCTCATAATATTTTTAAATCTTCCATTTCAAATTCTTCTGCCTGGGGATTTTTGGAAGTTGAAATTTCATAGTTAGGGAAAAGCAGTGATACATAAACCATTAAATGAAATAGGGGCCATGATAATTATCTGATTATCTAGTTTAAAAAATTAATGTCTGATTAAATATTCCATTACTGCCTCCTCCTAAAGAATGTGTATCCTTCTAAGACTTGAACAATATGAACCTTTCGAAAGTGCAATGAAACAGCCTCTCTTCCCCACGCCCCAACTCTCTTTCAGAGATAAGTTACAAGCCTCTATACAGTATATTTTGGAAGTGACCAACATGTCTCCACGGAGAGGGTCCTTATATGGTGGAACTGAAATCACTGTAACGGGTTTTGGATTCAGCACAACATCAGCTGAGAACACTGTGCATTTAGGTAAGAGTTTCATTCTCACTGAAAAGCTGTGCTATCATTTTGCTTGGCTCAGATAAGGTGCATTGTGGGAGATTATACAAATACTGTCTGTCATAGAAACTTTATTTTTCTTTCAATGTATGTTTATTGAACACCTGGGAGGGAGAAAGAGGGTCATTTCTATTCTGAAAATAAACAATACTTAAGTATAATTATTATCAGACAAATTAGAAAAGACAGAAATTGTCTCTAGACTTGGGTTTATTAATCACCAACTTAATGACTCATTGTATAAACATGAAAATGTTTCAGGAAATATTATTTTAATCTTTATTCTTTCTAGGTGCCTTTCCTTGCAATGTGATCTCATCTTCAGACAATGTCATAAAATGTGTTCTTCATTCAACAATGAATGTGTTCAGGGTCACTAACAATGGAGAAGATTCAGGTATCACTTCATATTTATGTTTTACATAAGGAGGTGATTTTTTGTATCTTGCTCTTCAAAGTCAATTGTTTGAAGAATATGCATTTCTTTTTTTTACACCATGGGTCAAGGGTATTTTGTTTTTTTTGTGGGGAGAAGGAGAGGGTCCCCCACAAATCATCACAGGTCCAGTAGGCGCAATTGTACAGCGATAATAAGTAAAGATTATAGTAAAGTCATAGAGAGCATGAGAGGTAGAGGAGAGATTGGAATAGTGGAGTCAGACACATTTCATAGTAGCATGCTCACCTCAGCCCCGCTTGGTGGTCCTCGTGGGGGGAACCCGGCCACGAGAGCAGGAAAGAGCCCCGGGGACTGAGGACCCAGGAGAGCCTCCACTTTATTGCTAACCAAGGGTTATATCGCATAAGGGGGACATGATTACAGGTAACCACATGTCACAGGAAGGGGCAGTACAATAGGTATACACATTGTAGGAAGGGGATCGATGATAGGCATTAAGTGTAATAGGAAGGGATGAGCTAGGGCTGTGCCCATAGGAATGGCAAGGTCTAGGGGTATACATGTGACAAGATGGGCGGACCCTATATTCATGATGGCAGCCTAACCTTGGTCATCCTTGGGCGGGTTTGACCGCTCTGGTGTCTCCTACAAGGAAACAGACAACTACTATCCTTATCAGAAGAGAGTGGGCCCTACTTGTTGTGGGACAAACAGTGGTGTCTGCTTGCTCTAGATGGCTACTCTTGATGACCTCCAAGTGTACAGTCATTCACAAGCAGCTAAGTTTGGCATATATTTGGGGAAGACAACTTGGGAGAAATCCTTCTGTTTCCCATAGTTTTTACATAGGTGATCACACGGAGAGTGACTCTGTGGAAGGCTAGATGCGCTTTCCAAGTTCAGGAATGGTCATTGGACTTAGTGTACTAGTGTAGTCTGTAGTTGCTTAGCAGTCAGGGTGCTTCTGAGTGAACGTTAAATTGAAAGTATCTAGATTTTGCATGCCTGTACGGGAAGAAATCCAAACATCAGCTCTCAAAAATTTATGTTATATGTTTAAAGGGTCCCATTATCTTATTTTTTATTCTTTTATTGCTAAGTATTAAAACTGCACACACAGCAAAGTTTTATAAAGTTAATTAGCAGTTGTTTTCCCGGACGTTGGTAAAAGAACAATATGTTTTCAAGTTAATGACTGAGACATTTCTCATTTGTTAAAAATGTGACTCAAACCTTGCTTTCAGAGCATGGATCAGGCTACGCGTGGTCTCCATCTGTGTTAAATGTATCCATGGGCGACACAGTGGTATGGCACTGGCAAGCACATCCGTTTCTTCGGGGGATAGGGTATAGAGTTTTCTCTGTCTCCAGTCCTGGACGTGTAATTTATGATGGCAAAGGATTTACAAGTGGAAAGCAAAAATCTGCAACTGGTATGTTTCCATGTTGTTGAAATTCATATCATATCTCTTTTTCCAAGATCTAATTAAAAAAATTTTTTGTTTAGATTCAAAATAATTTCACATAAATTGTATAAATGAGGGCTCTTCAAAAAGTTTGTGGAAAGATTCTATTATCTTTTAATTCCATATTTCACAAAGTTTTTGAAGTTCTCTCATATGTCTATGTGTATAATAACATTTATGTATATATCATTTAAGTGTGTTTGTAATATATGCCTACAGCAGAGTATGTAATGTATAATGCTATAATGAAACTTTATAAATGATCATTAGCAATGGAATTTAAACACATTAGAATTTTGATATTAGAAATACCTTTATTGATGCTGCAAAAATAAATCAGAAAAAATATGGAAAGAAGTAAAAACAAAATAAATACAAATGTTTTTTATCCTACCAATTTGATATTAAATCATTAACTTTTGTGCTTTGAAATCAGCTTAAGAAGCAGTACTTCTGTCGAAGACCTCAGTGTGTCTTATAGACAGATTGTTTTATAGCAGTATCAAATTCTCACTTGAAATTTATGTATTGTTTGCTTCATATCCCATGTGAGTTTTTCTCTAAATTTTGGTAAGTTATGCCAGTCTTGATCTGATTTTCTACAAAATTAATGCTGGGTCTTGTCTTCCTGGAACATAATTTCATTATCCAAGATAGCTCTTTTATAGCCTTTCTCCTTCCTGCTGAAATATCACACTCATGAAAAATAAGAAACCCAGCATTTAAACGTGCATTTAAATGATCCTTTCAGAATTTTTTTTGCACGCTTTTCAAAGCCTCATTAATTGCTTGTATTTATTATGTACAATCTTATTTTATGACAGGTTCATTTTCTTACCAATTCGCATCACCTGGAATTTATTATTATAGCAGTGGGTATGTTGATGAGGATCACTCTATTTTTCTCCAAGGAGTCATTAATGTTTCACCAGCTGAAACCAGGCACATTCCCTTGCACCTGTTTGTGGGTGGCACTGAAGCCACATATGCTCCGGGTAAGATGGCCAGAGATGGAAGCGCCGATACTGAGTCCACCCAGGACTTAGGAGATGCTTTAGAATAGAAGTTCAGAGGATGGAGGCCACATGACCCTTAAAATGACCTTGAATAAGTCTTGGCTGCTCAGAGGTTGGATCTTCTTCTATGAAATAAAGGTCATGTTAAGGGCATCCTGCCAGTCTCTGAGAATCCTTATATATGTCCAATGAGATGCCATCTGAGAGAGCTCTGGCCCTCTGAGCATGCCCCACAGTTACTATGTGAAAATGTGAGGTGATGTTATTGATTCTTGTCCAGCTCCCCTGAAACAAGGACCTGAGACAAATGAACTGAAACATTAGGTTTAGATTTCTTACCCCCTCTTTACTGTACCAGCTCTGCTCATGTCTTTAGGATCTTTGTATTGTCTAGTGCGCATCTTGTCATGTAATTTTTTAAAATAGAATTTAAGGTACCAGCATCAAAATAATGAGAAAATCAATCTGAAAACTGCTCTTATTTTAGAAGGCACCCGTGACTTACAGGCAATTCTTTTGTCTAAAGGAGGAGCTGAGTACGTGCATGGGGGAAGCTCTGTGGCAGGCTGCCTAGCAACGGAACCCCTGGGTAGCCTGAACAACACCGAGGTTAAACATTCAAATAAATTGCTCTTTGAGCTTTCAAGTTGTTTTTCACCTTCTATAAACAGCATTAGTCCTTCCACTGGAACAGTAAATGAATTGATAACCATCACCGGACATGGCTTCAGTAATGTCACCGGTGCTAATAAGGTAAGAATATGTAGGAGGTCTTCATATACTTCTATATCCTCAATAACAGGAAGCTGTTTTAGTCCAAAGCTCACAATTCCATTGTTTTCAACAGCTCAGCTGCTAATTGAAATGGGGATGGTTTGAATCCATCATTGTTCAGCGGGAGAAAGATTGGCAGTGTCTTTCTGGAAGGATTGGCAGCCCAGCCCTATGGAGCAGTTCTGCTCTGTTCTGGAGGGTTGCCTTCAGTTATTGATATATAATTCACATGCCACACAGTTACCCACTTAAAGTATGCGATTCAATAGCTTTCAGTACATTCATAAGAGCTGTCCATCCATCACCACAATCAATTCGAGATCATTTTTCTTGCTGTCAAAAGAAGCCCTTGTACCCCTTTGCTAACATGCCCCATCCTCCCATATGCCTTGTAAAGAATGTTTTCAATGTTCATTTACGGTTTCATATGTGTGTAAAACACAAAACAAAACAAAAATCTGATTGCCAGGAAATCATTCCTAACTCACAGCAAGCTTATAAAGGGTTTCCAAGATTGTAAATCTATGTGGGAGCCGACAGCCTCCTCTTTCTCCGATGGAGCAGCTCGTGGAGTTGAACCACTGATTTGTGGTTAGCAGCTCCATGCCTAACCCACAGCACCAGGCAGGCGCCTTCTAGTATCTATATCAGTATTTACTTTACTTTTATGTCCAAATAATATTCCACTTACGAATATACTCCTTTGTTGATCTCTTTATCAGATCATAGTCATTTGGGTTGTTTATTCATTATGGCTATTATGAGTAATGCTACTGTGAATATTCATGGACAATCTTAATTTGTTTTCAATATGAATCCAAGATGCGCTTTAAACAGTACCCTGAATTAATTTTTAAAAATTCTTTACTATAAATTAGGTGAAGGTTTACCCAAAGCTTTATCGGTTTTACTTTCAACAATTTGTGCAGATTGTATGTCGGTGTATGCTTGGCAATCCCCATACAACTTCCTCCTTTTCTGTTCCCACTCCTCCTTTATTCCTGCATGCAGGCTGAAGGGGTGTGGAAGTGTACCCTTGAAAATAGATGTGTTTTGCAGAGACTATTTGTGTACGCATATGTATACCTGCTAAGGAGCCCTGGTGCTATGGTGGTTACAAGTTGGGCTGTTAATTGTAAGGTCAGCAAGTTGAAGCCACCAACTGCCCCTTGGAAGAAAGATGAGGCTTTCTACTCCTGTAAAGACTTACCATTCCAGAAATTCACAGGGAGAGTGTCACTCTGTCCGATAGAATTGACTTGATGGCAGTTAGTTTGAGTTGTGTGATTTGAAGAAATCCTGATGGCATCGTGGATTATGAACCGAACTGCTAACCACAAGGTCTCAGAAATCCAAAGGCAAAGTTCTACCCTATCCTGTAGAGTCTCTATGAGTCGATGGTAATGTGTTTTATCTATCCGTATGGTCAATATATCCATGAATGTGGTGGAGCGTACAAAGAGCAAAGCTCTGAAGACTTCTTAGTCATAACCAAACATTTTGAGGGAATGAGTCGCTGGGTCTGGGAGATCTGTGGATTTGTGGGACACCAACGTCAACTGACATAGCTCAGAGAGAAAGTGTTCCACATCCTTTTGGCGAGTAGCAATTGGGATTTTAAAAGTTTGTGGGCAGCCATCTCAAGTAGAACCATTGGTCTCTCCCCAGTCAGAGGAAAGAATAAGGATGCAAATAGAAAAACAGAGGCAAACAATTAGTCCAATGGACGAATGGGCCCTGCAAACATCAGTCTTCATGGTCCTCAGGCCTGAAGAGCTAGATGGTGCCTAGCTCAAATGACCAACTTCTCTGAAAAGAGTCACATCTGAAGTTCCTGTATAGAGTGGGGGGGGGGGAGTGAGGGGGATGTGGAGTACAATTAAAAAATCATAAAAAAGAACAGGCTTACTGGTCGGATAGAGATTGGTGGAACCCCCAAGACCATGGCCTTTGACACTGAACTTCCCCGGCCCTGTGTTAAAATAATAATCAAGCACTTAAGAATGAAATGTCTTAATTTTAACAATAAAGTTTTACATGATCAGGTTTTTTGAATGTTGCTTATTGCTAATGTAAAATTTAAGTTCACACGAAGGTGATGCATCAAATTGATTTATTTCCTATTTATTCCACTTCTAGGTTATAATTGGTAGCTACCCTTGTGTTGTAGATGAAAGCAATGAAAATTCTATTATGTGTCATATTGACCCTCAAAACACAATGGATGTTGGTACCAGGGAAATCGTCACATTAACTGTCCACAACCTGGGCACTGCTATCAACACACAGGCCAATGACATTGACAGGCGGTTTGTGCTTCTACCCAACATTGACACGGTATTGCCACCTGCAGGATCAACTACAGGAATGACGAGAGTGACCATAAAGGGCTCTGGATTTGCAGTTTCTGCTGCTGATGTGGATGTCCTCCTGGGGCCTTTCTCCTGTAAAGTTCTGTCCGTGAACTACACAGCCATCGAGTGTGAAACACCAGCTGCCTCTCAAGAGCTGGTGGATGTCAGTCTTCTAATACACGGAGTGCCAGCCCGGTGCGAAGGGGACTGCAGCTTTTCCTATTTAGACGGCCTTACACCTGTCATCACAAGTATCACCCCAAACAGTATCAACCGATCTGCCCAAGTTCTGATCGAAGGAGAAGGCTTTGGGACTGTCTTGGAGGACATTGCTGTTTTTATTGGAGGTCAACGGTTCCCAGCAATAGATGTAAACGAAAGCGCCATCACTGCTCTTGTGACTCCCCTCCCAGCGGGGCTTCATTCGCTCCGTGTGGTGGTGGGCACAAAGGGGTTGGCGCTGGGAAACTGCACGGTCAGCAGCCCTGCGGCAGCCACTGTCACACCCACTTCTGGAAGCACTGGGGGTGGAACTATCTTGGTGATCACCGGAAATGGCTTCTACCCAGGCAAAACCTCTGTCATTGTTGGAGAGAACCCTTGCGACGTGATTTCCGTCCACTCCAGTGAAGTTCACTGCCGCACCCCACCAGGGAAAGCTGCGATGGTGGATGTAAAGATCTTTGTGAATGCAGTCGCTTACCCTCCACTGCCATTCACATACGCCATAGAGGACACTCCATTTCTTAGGGGAATTGTCCCAAGCAGAGGTATTTCACAACCAAATCTCTGTGTTGCTTTGGTAACCTAGTGTCAGTAGTATTTGGTAGTATTGCATTGGAATATTTGTTCATAATTATTAATATGTTTTTGACCACCTATTTAACCCAATTAATTTATGTGATTCAAGTTCTGCATAGTTTCAGTTTTATGCTTATTTTTGCGCTTTCCTTGGGTAAAAACTTTATTCAAATTCCCCATTTCTATTCAGGACCCAACTTTGCAATGACTTGACTTAAAATTCAAAATGAGGAGAAATACATGAATTGTATGAATTGAATTGATAATTTATGTCAAATAATGTTGATACAAAACAAGAAACATTCATCAAAACTCACATATATTTGAAATTATTTGTATTAATTTTATAATTAGAATATTTCATGGAGATAATGAAAAAAAATTGTAAAATAAGATATACTCACTTCTATAATCATGACTCATTTCCTCAGCTCTGAATATTACGATATTCCTTGGACCATTGCACTCTGTTATTCTGTTTCTGGCCCTCTTCATGGTGTTGAAATCTGAAGTAATAAATCCTTGAAAGGCAACCACAGTATAATGAATTAAGATATATGTATGAAGTCTGTCCTTGAATGAGCTGCAACATCAATAAAGTATCAAAGTAAATTTTAAATAGTAATCCTTAACCTCTAAAATAACTCCTTACACACACACACCCAGCTCAGACATTTATACTTAACTTCAGATCTTCCTTTTCCCGCCTCTGTATACTACTATCTTGAGTTAATCATTTACAACCCATAGAGCGGAAGAAAGACAAAAGAATAATAAGCTCTGAGATAAATTTACTTCTAGCTAATATATGAGACTGTTACATGCATGTATTGTTAATATGTATTTACTTTAACACACTAGATATTGTTTGATTTATAAAGTAAATGCATCTTTAAATGTATGTGTAAGTATAAGGGTTTAGATATAGTTATATTCTTGTTTATTTATTTTTCGTTTAGGTCCACCAGGGACAGAAGTTCAAATCACTGGATTTAATTTTGGTATTGACACCCTGGAAGTGTCCGTGATGATCAGTAACCTTCAGTGCCATATAACCATGGTCAATGATAGTGTGTTGCAGTGCATTGTGGGCGAGCACGCAGGGGGCACTTTTCCTGTTTCAATGCACCATAAGACAAAAGGCTTTGCTGTGTCCACGATTGTCTTTGAGTACCCACTTACTATCCAAAATATTCATCCAAGCCAAGGTAGTCACGAATGTCAAGAGCCTGTAAATCTTTTGCCTTATTTAGAAGGGAAAAAAAGTTCTTCAAATACTGTTAACACAGAACACATTTAACAATAGTTTTTATCATGTACAAGTAAATAAGTATGCAAGAGTATCATTCACTCATATTAAAGAATTGAAGTTCAGTGTCATACATATTAGTTTAGTGTCATAAGTGAAGTATTTGTTTAGCATCATATGTCTTTTAGTGCTCTATATTTTTCGAAATTTAGTCCTACCTAACTAGGTTCTGTATGAAGCATCCTAAAAATTACATTTAGACATAAGTGTTATGTAATTACTTCTGGTTAAAAACCTTAGAAAAGTATAACTAGTGTGTCACTTATTTAATGAAATCTTTCTTTTATATTTGACTGTTCTGAAATTCTTTGTGGCATCTCCTTAAATGAAATTTGAATTCTAAATGTAACTTAGATAAACAAATGTGACATTCATAATAGTCAGTTTTAAAATAGTTCAACCAAGAGATTCTATTCTATAAAAACTATATATGTAGTACATGATATATCATAATTCAGCTTTATAATTATTTCATATATAGTATTCTAACTTTTAATTCTAAATTTTTAATGTAATTTCCATTCTGAATTTTAAAATAAGGTTAAGAAAATATGCACACAGAGACTATTTTATGTAATTACTTTGTTTTCTCCTTTATTTGTATTTACTAGGGAGCTTTGGTGGAGGTCAAACTATGACAATAACAGGCACTGGGTTTAATCCGCAAGATTCGGCTATATTCCTCTGTGACACAGAATGTGCAGCTGACAGGCTTAAATCTAATTACACAACCTTATTGTGCAAAATTCCACCTAATCATGGTAAGTGTTCAGAGAAGATACTTGGTCTGTGAGAAAAGACTAATTTTATAAAGATCAAAATCTAGATTTGTTTTTTCAAGCTTCTTTGGAACAACTGAGTCACTTTGTCCTGATTTTAAGTACTTTCTTAAGAACATTGGTTTCTAGGTTTGTCCTTCAAGAGTCATAAAATTTAGGTTCGATTGAATTGCTTATGATTTCACTTTTCAGTTTATCACATAAACTGATGACTCTTAGTTTATTGCATGGCTAATGGATAGCATGTTTTTATCTTGCCAATAATACTAGCTTTTCCTTACAGATTGAATAGCATTAATGGCTAACAGTGTGGATCCTGGTAGCATATTGCCAAGTTTCAAAACCGAGCTTTTTATTACTGGGTAGTTCAACTTCTCTATGCTTCAATAGGAAGAGCACCGGTGGTGCAGTGAGTTACTTATTGGGTTGCTAACCACAAGGTCAGCAGTTCAAAACTATCACCTTCTCTGTGAGTGAAAGATGAGGCTCTCTACATCCACAAAGAGTTACAGTCTCAGAAACCCCCAGGGGCAACTCTACCCTGTTCTATAAGGTCTGTATGAGTCAGCATTGACTCAAGGGCAGTTGTTGTTATTGTTGGTAGGCGTTTTTTTGTGGGTTTTTAAAAATTATTCAATTAAAAAACCTTGGTAGCACTGTGGATTAGGGAGAAAGAGGAAGTTGGCTGCTCCTGTAAAGATTTACAGTCTTAGAAGCCCTATATTGACCCAATTGAGGTAGGTTTGATTTGGATATTTGTTTAGTGGTGCAAAGAGTTATATGCTGCTCTGATAACCAAAAGGTTGGTGGTGGGGGTTGAGCCTACTAGCCACTACATAGGAGAATGATGAAGGAGTCTGCTTGTATAGAGATGTACGTCTTAGAAACCCCATGGAGCAGTTCTACTCTGTCCTCGAGGGTCATTATGAATTGGAATAGACTGAATGGCAGTGGTTTGGGTTTTTAGTTGGTACTTCAATTTCCTTACCTGTAAAAATGAAGATAATCATGTGTGTTAGGCAGTGTCCTCTAGTGAAACAAAACCAGGACATTTATGATTTTATATATATATATATATGGATAGGTTTATACAGCAAGAAGGAATATAACAGCTAATTAGTCCACACAGCAGTACAGAGGTCTCAGTTCAACTCACTTTCGTGGAACAGTTAATATACTGAAAGACCTACAACTCACACGGCCTGCAGGTCCAAGGTCAAGGAAGCAGACAGCTGGAGTCTTCCTTCAGGCAAGACTGGCAGATTCTGCCTACTGGGTCCCCAACAGTCAGTAGCATGGGAGCTTATTGAAGCTGGCCCCATGGGATCTCAAACTCAAGCGATCAACCCACCTCAAGCTCAAGCAATGTGCATGCCAGCAGCATGTCAAAGCAGGTCTCTAAGGAGCCTCAAGCTCTAGCAACAAGATCAACAGGTTGGCTTGGCCTACAGGTAGTGTAGCAGTAGCACACTAGTCCATTCACCAGGGAGAGATGGGATGTCACCCGTATTTATCTTAGTTGCCCTCTAATCAAGCTGCAACCTGATTAAACTCTGCCCACATGTTCCTATTGGCCTAGTTGGCACACTAAACCTTTCACATCATTGTAGCCTGCTTTATGGTATTTTTGCAGGGTTTAGTAAATTAATGTATTTAAGGTGGATGGGATCATATCTGGTACATATAACATGATTTACTATTATTGTTTCATTTGTGCATTTATTTTTATTTAGTGGCTAAGAGCATTGGCTTTGAAAAGTTTATAAAACTCAGTTTTGCCACATCCTGTGTCTCTTTACCTTTAACTCTGCTGTACTTGTCTTTCCCACTCCAATACACCAATCTTGTGATAAGCAGCCGAATGCTTAACACTCAGGGCTAGTAGGGCTCCTTAGTAGAGCTATAATGAACCTTTAAGTCAGTGAGCTGTCATGAAATTCAAACATTTGGTATTCTGCATATTTGATATGTTTGAATTATTGTCTAAAACATACTCTCAGGATGGTTTTCATTCAAAGTAAATATGCTAGGTAAATGAAAGATATGTTTTATGTGCAAACATTTTCAAAACGTTAGTAAGATTTTATGAAACTTTTCTAAATAATTTTACTCTTTTCCTTGACTTTTTAAACACACATTTTGAGTAAAATGTAACCTCTTTATGATTGGGCTTCCTTTTTCCATTTGAACACCAGATTTTGTATTCTGACTGAACATGCAAGAGTTATGTCAGCATTTGTGGACTTTTTTTAGGTTGTCTTTTTAACGCGGGCTGTGTTTCTTGTTTTTAAGATTTTGCACCTATTTCTGTAGTGTGTGTGTGTGTGTGTGTGTGTGTGTGTGTGTGTGTGTGTGTGTGTGTTACCTGGCTTCCAGCTGTCACTCCTGGCTGCCATCAGTGTGTTTACCTCTAACATTTCTTCCTGTTCTAATTTCCTACACTCTATCCCCTCCGCTTGGAAAACTAAACAAGCAGATTTGTAGATTATCTGCCATAATGGATTCCAAGTGAGAGGCTGAGATTTTAACGCTCTGATAATGCAAAGAACTTTGTGATGTTTTCAGCTATTGCCAGAGATCTGTTACTTCAAATATAGTCTGTTTCCCGGGGCCAGTGATTGACGGAAAAGGGAGGTGTGATTGAAAAGTTTCGTGATGATGGAGATGAACGTGGACGTCACCATCAGATTGAAAAACTATTCCATTTGATCCTCTTTTCCTAGCAAGGGTCCTTGAGCAAGCCTGTGAAGTGAGTGTGGCCAACGGGAAGGAGATTTCACTGTCTATGACTCCATTTGTGTACAATGTGTCGCAGACTCCAATCATCATCGGAATCGCTCCCAAGAGAGGCAGTACAGCAGGGGGCACCAGACTGACCGTCCTGGGATCCGGATTCAGGTGCTGTCTTCACATGCACACACGCCAATGCCTATGTCCAGATTCCAGTCACTACTCCTTTCTCTGGGGCCAGATACTGCTGATATGTAGTCATGAATGTGTACCCAGGGCAGGGAGTCACCTTTGGGGTATGTAACAGTCCTAACACTTAATAACGTTTATTGAGTCCTTACTGTGCTAGACAACTTCCAACCAGACACTTGTTGCTTTACCTTATGAGCGTTTCAAATTGCCCTTGAATGGTTAGGAGACTGAAAACGTGGTCAGGTGCTGCTGAGCCTGTTCCAATTCAGAGTGACCCTTGTACCACAGAACGAAGCACCGCCCAGTCCTCTGTCGTCCTCACAGTCTCCTGATGGTTGAGCCCACTGTTGCCGCCACTGTGTCAGTCCATCTTGTCGAGGGTCTTCCTCTGTCGCTTCATTTTACGAAGCGCAAAGCCCTGGTGGTGTAGTGGGCTGAGCTGCTAACCATAAGGTGAATGACTTGAGCTCACCAGCCTCTCTGAGGAAGAAAATATGAGGCTTTCTACTCCTGTAAAGATTCAGTCTCGGAAATGCCAAGGGGGCAGTGCTATTCTGTCCCGTCGGGTGACTATGCGTTGGAGTTGACCGATGGCAGTGAGTGAGTGACAACTTGCTGGCGATGGAGACGAGACGAGTGGGCAGCACCACAAGCACCACAACTTTTAGTCAGTGTCTTATGTTTCCACCATGACTGTT